TGGATGATGACCTGGGCGAACAGAGACCTCTAGCATCGCCATCCAAAATACCAATCCCAAAAGTCAGATCAACGTCTGACGCATCAGCAACCTCCACAGCCGTGAAACCTAACATAAATCGTGCATGGGTTACTGTGCTCACAGGACCAGCATATCTACCAGGAACTATAATTCTTGCTGATTCACTTAGGAGGGTCGAATCAAAGTATCCGCTTCTCGTTTGCGTTACGCCCTCGGTGAACAAGACTGAGCAAAACGCACTCAAGGCTGCGGGATGTGAGCTGATGGTGATCGAGCCACTGAAGCCAAAGGTAAAAGTAAATATTGTAGCATCTCGATTTGAGGATACATGGACTAAGCTGGCAGTCTTTGGACTTGTCCTGATGGAGGTTAGTTATGATTGTCTTCATTTTATATCATTTATTAATCGAGACTTTGCAGAGATTGGTCCTACTCGATAGTGATATGCTGGTTATTCGTAATATGGACGAGCTCTTTGATATGGATCTGCCGTTTGACTTTATCGCTGCAAATCATGCCTGTGTTTGCAATTATGCCAAGGACCCCTGGGCTGATGCTGATTGGTGAGTTCTCAAAGAACTGGATGTTTCTACTTCTCTTTTCTCACATCTTCTGCGTCGTATAGGAACCCCCAGAATTGTGCGTACACAGGTCTAAAGCACCCTAAAGCTCTTACGAACCCAAGAGAGGTCACACCAGAGTCTATCAGGACACATCATCTTTTAAATTCTGGTCTCGTCGTGTTCCATCCCTCAAATATGTTGTACGCGGCAATAGTAGAATTCCTTTTCACTGATCCCCGGGTCCCTACCTTTGGGTTCCCTGACCAAGATCTCCTTTCCGTGTTTTTCAAAAATAAATTCAAGCCGATAGGTTGGCAGTACAATGCACTAAAAACAATGAGTTATGAGCACAGAGACATGTGGAGTGATTTTGAGGTAAGGAATCTGCACTTCATTTGTGAGAAGCCATGGAAGACCGGGAGATGTGAGGGAAGATTCAAGATTCCACATGGTATCTGGTGGGATTCTTGGGACAGGTGGTTTCACGAGACTCAGATTAAGGTGCCTAAACTGGCGCAGTTCCTTGCACGGTATGTCAACCTACCGGGTAACCCTGGGTCGAGTGACGGCTCAAGCTCTACCTGAGAGTTATTCTGTCGGCAGTTCCAACATGTACCGGTGATAGTTGAGCTCTCTCTTCATCCCGTGAACAGTTTTTTGAGACTTGTATTAAATTTGTTTCAACAGTTCTATTATGAGTTCAAAATCCAACTAGAGAGGATATCTGTGATCGTGTTCACTCATATCTTGTCACTCGGTGTAAGCTTAGGGTTAGGGTTCTATGCGACATGAGTCAATGCATGATGCCATTTCATTCGTTAAACTTTGGACAAAAACGAGAGCTAGTAGAGCTAATCATCTACTCTTGACTGTTGAACTAAAGATGCACACAAAGCCCCAAATATGCGTACGCATACTTTGTCTCTGTTGCGACTTCGAGATTACATGTACTTCATTTAATCAAGTTCGTTTCTTGTAAAGACCGCTTCAAGGACATCAATTACTGTCAATGGTGGTTACTCGTAATACGCATATCCCTCGACCACGCTCACCCATGGAGTAAATCAATTGTTTCAAGGTATAAAACCATCTATCTATTGCTATATATACGTATGACTACAGTATACTATTCGTTTCCTTGTATCTATTTTATATTCCTTAATCCTCTTCTCACCTTATTATAATTCGTATGACAGGCCCTATCTTTCTAACTCCACGCAGAGAGTGGTTTTTTTTTTCCAGAGAACACTGGATCTCAGACATCTCATTGTGCTTCTGATCTAACACCTAAATCTGTTCATCAACTTCGGTATTTTTTGAGATATTCGGGGTGAGAAAAGGTCATAATGAATTATATAAACTCTACTCAAAGGCGAAATTCATAGCGAATGTAGTTCAATATTCCCGCACGCAGTAGACTCAGGAAGGCACTGCGTTAGTATTGGGAATACAAAGCCCAATTTCTGAATTGCGTCCACAGGATGCAACTATTTACCTTACCTTTCCTCCCGTTTGCACTGCTCATATATTTGTATCACGTTGTTGCACGTTCAACTCCACCAGTCGGCATTCCACAACATCCCTGTCATTTTTCTCGCAAGGGATGCTGCTGCTGCACATTGTAGCCAATATATCTGCTCGCAAACCATCCACACATATACAAGAATACCAAATATCGCATTATTTGCTAATTAATTTCGGCGTGTGCGTCTTGTATTATTTATTGCATTGATTGCGAGGGGTTAATTTGGTGGTCTTGGCTTTTATATCCGTGTCTATCCCGCCAAGGTGTTTATATGATCCGATTGATCAAGTAGCCGATTTGAAACCTCATTAATTGACGGCGTATCATGAAATATCACTCGCTAACTGTTTCGGAACATTTCTTTCAAGGTTGGGATAGAAAGCGAGCAAGCGAGCGGTGCCAAAGGCGTATATCTCATCACATTACATAATAGGCCCGATCCAGGAGCACTGCCTGAACATCTCGGTAAACAAAAAAAGAACTCAAGACTATGATATAGGCCAGCTGATAGAAGCGAATGGTGGGTGTTTTGATGGAAATTTAAATAAAAAAATGATACCCCAGGTCAGGGTCGAACTGACGGCTTTCGCATTGCATACAAGTTGGAATACTTAGTATAAGAACGACACGCTAACCACTGCGTCACAAGGGTATATGGTGACGTCCTGGAAAAACGTTTTAAGTAGGGTACATAGCTTGGGAGACTTGGCTCTAAAGTTTGCTACCCTAACCACGATAACGTAATGCGCTCGCGGGAAGAGGTACTGTAAATAGAAAGTCGCGATGCGTCTCGACTGGCTTCTCAGAAAAGTAAGGTCATCAAACGCATGATGCAGGATTATCATTCAGCTATCTCAGATGTGTTACATAATACCACAACGTAAACAACATCGTCGGAATTTAACAGCCTCAAAACTACTTATTAGCTACAACTCATCTGGATTTTCTTTATGTTACTCGAACAGCGATAATACTGTTGAAAAAAAGGCAATATAATCGATCCTTTGAGCCTGCTCATTATCCGCTAACTCGGTTGGTGTTTCGAGGGCTACATGCGGGCTGATCAAACACAGTGAAAACAGGTACCAGCACATAAAGACTACTAGTACTTGTAGACAGCCCAAGCACGTCAGGAAAAAAACGAGATAATCTCTGACCTGTTAACTTGATAAATCACCCTCTCTCACATGGTTACAGTTTAGAAGTTTACCTTGCTGGTGTCAGCTACAGCTTCAGTGCTACTGCTACGTACAAGACACTGCACCCAACACTCATATTACACAAATAAAAACGATATTCCTATCGGTTTTCTTTCTCGTAGTATCACTTTGGTATACCTTCTGTCTTTCTTCGTATACGGCAGTCGCCAGTCGCTGTGGTGTGGTTCAGGTCAGCGAAACACCCTCCAGGAAGTTCATGAGTATAGTACATCTTTCTACGTATATATATATGCCCTTGCTTATTTCTTATGAGATATCTATATCAGTAGATACATCACAGGGAGAAATGAGAACCAGAATCCATAGGCTTTTTCTATGGCACTACTCTGTCGCAGCGCCTGATTGATGGTTATAAGGAATGAAATGGACCTACCTTGCATTGCAATTAGATATGGTATATACTCGTTCGACTTCGGCTGATATCAAGAATATCTAGGCAGTTACTCTCTTCTCTTACGATCTTCAACTCGATCGAGAAGGCCTGGCCACCATTCAACGAGCCTATCAATATCCCCGACAATCAATACTGGAATACGGGTCATACTGCTTCTTCTTTTACCTACGAGCAGCTTTGCTGAATTTCTCCCGAATCCATTCAAAGATGACTAGCTAAATAGTTCAATTTCCAACCGAAGCAGATTTTCTTGGTCTCGATCAGCGCCCCTCTCAGATAAATAATGTGGAGGAGTAGTACTCCTACCACCCCTGGGCAGGTGCTGAGCGTGGACCGAAGGCCATATTCTATAATGGTTTATGGGCCGGTTGACGTTCTTCAGGCGGTTCCATACCTCCTATTTTAAACACGAATGAACGTTTTTCAGTTGCAAAAATAACCTAAAACATCTAGATCTATCTAGGTTCAAATAGTCTAGATCTTGAGATAAGGCAATACGGCGCAGTTGCAGTACTAATGCTTGGCAATGCACGGTGTGAACTGGCTGGTATTAGTTGGTACAGAAGCCAATCACTCTGCTTATCATTTGAGCTCCAAATTGGGCCTTATCTATTTCTTTGTACCTCTTGTCCCCCCCCCCCCCCTTTTTTTCTTTTTTCTTTTTTTTAAATAGATACGTATAGCTACAACTACAGATTAAGAGTACCGATAACTGTAATATTATGTAGGCGCGATAACTATACAAGAATTTTATCACAGTGGGGGGGGGGGGTATGTATATGTATTTATCTCCCTACATCACCAGTACATATAGAGGGGCTTCCGTGAAGACTCATGCAGAATTCTACTCTGTAGATGTAGTTAAGCGGGAATAGAACCTATTGGATTTTAAACAGATCATACAGTCCGGGAAAGAATGGGTAATTAAATGAGCACCAGATAGATGGTCATAATAATATTCAGAAAATATGTACATGTAGCTGAGAGGGATAATTTTATTAAATGGTCTCGAATGCTTGTGGTCCAATCCAGAGACTCTCACTTGGCCTCAGCTAGCATGTCAATGATACAGCACAGTAGTACATGTAGTATTTGCTAATCCGCGGGCGTTGATTGGCAACAAGTGACCCACAACCCGCGAAGCCTCAAAACCCTTGGACCCCGGATTCTTGGCGCTGCCCCACATTCATTTTTTCACAAGACTGTCAGAGCCTTTCTCTGCAAACAGCAATTGCTTCTTCCCAACTCGATCGTGACAAAGAAGAAGGTGAGGCATCATGTCTTCAATGCGTCTTGTGAGCTCCTTCCCAACCTCAATTAGAAAACTCTGGTCTAATGTGTCTGCTCCATAGCTACGACTTCCCACCAGCACTAGGCTCTGCCTCCCCCGGCACCGCGCCTTCCCTCCAAGGCTCCCCACATACTTTCAGCCCGCGACATCCTTTCACCTCGTTCGCTCCCTCGCAACATCTTCCAATGTTCCAGCATCTTCGCCAGTTCAAAATCTCACTGAACAGATCGTGCAAAACTATGCTGTCAACCTCCCTCCTGGCAAAGCCGTCCACTCGGGCGACTACGTTACGATCCGTCCACATCACTGTATGACCCACGACAACTCCTGGCCTGTCGCCCAGAAGTTCTTCTCGATTGGTGCTACGGCAATTCACAACCCTAAGCAAGTCGTTATGACCCTCGACCATGACGTCCAGAACTCGTCAGAATCAAATTTGAGGAAGTACAAAAACATTGAGGAATTGGCAAAGAAGCAGGGCGTAGACTTCTACCCAGCTGGAAGGGGTATTGGACATCAGATCATGACTGAGGAAGGATACGCGTGGCCAGGAACCCTTACAGTAGCGAGTGATTCACACAGCAACATGTACGGAGGTATCTCGTGTCTTGGAACCCCAATTGTCCGTACCGACGCCGCATCTATCTGGGCTACTGGACAGACATGGTGGCAGATCCCACCGGTTGCGAATGTGAAGCTTCAGGGTGTTCTCCCTAAGGGTGTTACTGGAAAGGATGTTATTGTTGCCCTTTGCGGACTCTTCAACAACGACGATGTCCTCAACCACGCCATTGAGTTCACAGGATCCGAAGAAACCCTTCAGTCACTCCCCATCGATGACCGCCTCGCAATTGCCAACATGACCACTGAATGGGGTGCTCTCAGTGGTCTCTTCCCTATGGATTCCGTCCTTAAGAACTGGATGCTTCAGAAGGCTCGCGAACACTCCGCCCGCCTCAAGGGCGCTACTCACTCCCGTCTCACAAACGAGAAGATCGCAGATCTGTTTGAGAACAAGAAGCTCGCCGCACACCCAGACGCTACCTACGCAAAGACGCTTTCTCTCGATCTCGGAACCCTTTCTCCCCATGTCGCAGGGCCAAACTCCGTCAAGATTGCCACGCCGCTTCACGAGCTTGAGGCCCAGAAGGTTGCAATCCAGAAGGCCTACCTCGTCTCATGCACCAACTCCCGTGCTTCTGACATCGCTGCCGCTGCCGCCGTCTTCAAAGCTAATCCCACCGCAAAGATCGCTGACGGTGTGGAATTCTACATTGCAGCCGCCTCAACTCTCGAGCAGGAAGTCGCCACTAAAGCTGGTGATTGGGACACCCTGATCAATGCCGGTGCAAAGCCCCTCCCCGCCGGGTGCGGCCCATGTATCGGTCTCGGAACTGGTCTCCTTAAGGACGGCGAAGTAGGCATCTCTGCCACCAACCGTAACTTCAAGGGTAGAATGGGCTCAAGAGACGCGCTCGCCTACCTCGCCTCCCCCGAAGTCGTGGCCGCCAGTGCACTCAACGGTTACATCTCTGGTCCCGGAAACTACACTGGTCCCGGCGCTGCTGTGACCCGCTCCCAGGCCGCTACTCCCCCCTCTAGTTCTTCCGGTGCCGCGGCTACCTCAGAGGCACAAGCAGAAACTGAGATTCTTGATGGCTTCCCCTCTAAGATTACCGGCGAGATCGTTTTCTGCGACGCAGACAACATCAACACCGACGGAATCTACCCCGGAAAGTACACTTACCAAGACAACATCCCACTCTCCCAGATGGCCGAGGTCTGCATGGAGAACTACGACCCCAACTTTGCTACTCTAACCAAGGCTGGCGACATTCTCGTGTCCGGTTTCAACTTCGGTACCGGGTCCAGTCGTGAGCAGGCCGCCACTGCCATTCTGGCCAGAGACATGAAGATGGTTGTTGCTGGTAGCTTCGGAAACGTGTTTATGCGTAACAGTATCAACAACGCCCTGATCACTGTGGAGGTACCAAAGCTCATTGAGCGACTAAGGGCAACCTTCGGCGGTGAGAAGGGTGTGGCTACCAGGAGGACCGGATGGTTCCTGACATGGGACGTAGCACGGAGGTGTGTGATTATCAGAGAGGGTGATGAGGGTGCTAAGGAGTGGACAGTACCCGTGGGAGAGCTCCCACCGGGTGTCCAGGAGGTGTTTGTTAAGGGTGGTCTGGAGGGATGGGTTAAAGCAAAGTTGCAGTAGAGTAGAGCAGGCGAATGGGTTTGATTTTATACTCTTTGGCGTTTAAAATGCGAGTAGTTAAGGGAGATATCAATTTGTATATATAGCCATAAACGAAGCTGTTGAAACAACCACCACGACACCCCAAGTGAACCGCTTATATTACAGATTATCAGTTTATATTTAGTGACAATCTTTGGATTGTTTTCCAATGTTGGAGTATCCTTTCAAATAATTAGCATGACCCGCGCAGTAAGGTCAATTCTCTATTGGAATAGATACCTAGTCCCAATAAGTACTTAGTATATTTAGTTAACGAAACGTACTTAATTCTTAAGTGCCAATTAATCCTCCACACCAGGACCACCAAAAAAGAAAAAAAGGAGATATGAGTTCAGTACCCAGGATTCCCACATAGTCACCCACTGCAGTACTAACTAGGCGATATGATGATTATATATGGCAGAGCGGACGGGATGCCTAGCTTTCATCATTCTATGACCGAACACGCGGGTAATGACTAAAATGTGGCTTCTGTTTTCATTTTGTAGTGGATATCGATCAGTAGTGGAACACGCAAGATTCGAGGCGTAAGAGCTCTACCGGGGTCTACAAGTACTTGTAGGGAACATCAGATCAACACCTGTACGTTAGTACATCGTCCTTTTTTTTGTCAGCGTCATGTGTCTTGATGAGATTCTCTAATCCTAGTCTATGAGTATACTAATCAAGCGTAGCTCAACTAAGTCAGGCTTATGCTCACCACAAGGCAACATATCCTTACGGCCTCAAATGGCAGAAACCAATTCGATCCATAAGCATGAAATTCGTACGTTGCCTTTATCCTTTTATATATAAGGTACCCTAGGTTTCGTCTACATTACGAAGTACGTCGAAGTTAAAAGGAGTCTAACGTTGGCAAAACCAAAAAGAAAAAAAGGAAAATCACCCGAACCAGAAGCACGAGAATTTAGTATTTTATAATGAGAAGTAATAAGCTAACGATTCCCTGCCTAGACAGGTATTAACCACATCTTACTGCCCAAGATATAAGGATTCGGTCACTAGGCCTAAGAGAATTTCTCAAATGAAGGCAAATCAGGAATTAAGCTCATTCACCGGGAATTTCCATTCTTCCGCGGCCGGGCTACTATTGTTTACTTTTTTGGCACCCGGCAATACTTATTCGCGGTGGGAAGTCATGTCAAAAGTAAGACCTCCGGACTCCTAAATATCGGTTTGGCTTTTGCTTTTTAAAAACAGAATATGGTAGGCCCCAATTACTACTAAAGATTTGAAATCAAGCACTAACCTACATGTATGGGTTCAGGGAAGGAAACAATGTCCTGTCTATGTGTATGTCTTTGGAACTACGGTAGCAGTCATAACCACAAAGGGCAGGATGGGCAAACTAAGAACAGTCTGAAAAACCCCAGTGGCAGCATGATCTTGTCATTTACCCAAGTCTAAGGCTACATATATTTATCATGTATTCAGACACAGGCAAGTTCCTTGATATTTTGAGCCTTATATCGGATTTACTTAACCGAAAAATTCCATGTCATATTGTCTAGAGTAGCTCTATTCTCAAAGCGTCCAGCGTAACCGCTGTTCTTTGTTACACCGAATACCGCTGGGCGGCTGCATAAACTACTCAGGTCTCCTAGAGCCGCATCACACCCTGCACAACGCCCAATATCTCTCTGAATTGCCGCGTAGGGGTACATAAATACCTAGAGGTCAAGTCGCACAAGAAATGCCGGGCTGAGATGAGGAGGAGGAGGAGGAGACAAAAGCATCATCATCTCAACCTCTGACCTTCCCCACAAAAGAGACTTCAAACGAAAAAGATAAAGATGATACAACCACCTACAGATGCCTTTGCGAATCTAGGAATTAGTGCGCCCGTTCCTCTAGTCTGTTCGTCCGGCTCTAGTGTTGCGTCGTCTACAACACTGGGGTTGGTGGGAGATATTCCTACTGCTATTACTACTGTTACTGCTGCTGATCGGCTGGTTGTCGGTGTGGATTTCGGAACTACGTATAGCGGGTATGTTTTGCTTTTATTTAATAAAAATCTAATCAAGTAGAGAGAATTAGTAGGGCTACGGGGGTTGCTTTTTATTATTATCTTCTTTGAGAATACATTTTACGTAAAGATGCGTTGAGAACTTGTATCAGGCAATCAGGGATCTATGTAAGAGTTAACTTTACTAACGCTATCTCCAGCGTCGCAGCAGTCTACAGCGGTACTCCGGATGATATTGAAGTGTATGTCAATGATCTGTACAACCCATTTTCTTCTTCTGACTAATATTTTACCAGAATTAAGACCTGGCCCGGCGGGAATGGCATCACCTCCGACAAAGTCCCCACTGAGATCTCCTACACTCCCTCTACGGGCAATGCTTCCAGCTACCGCTGGGGTTTCCAGCCTACCCCTACATCACCACGGCTACGCTGCCTCAAACTCTTCCTGGACCGAAATCAAAAGATCCCCAATTATGTATCTCCTCTCGAAACCGCAACTTTGCTCCGTGGCGTCAATAAATCTGTTCTGGACGCCATCAGCGACTACCTTGGCGCACTCCATGCCCATACCATCACAACCTTAACTCGACGCTACGGAATCAGCTTTATGGCAATAACACCGATTACCTGGGTCCTCACCGTCCCCGCTGTCTGGAGCGATGCGGCGAAGACCGCCACTCGCCATGCAGCTGAGCGTGCAGGAATGAAATCTCCACGGCTCATTAGCGAGCCAGAGGCCGCAGCAGTGTACACACTAAAGGCTATACAGCCCAACACTCTGAGTGTTGGGGATCATTTTGTAGTTTGCGACGCGGGTGGTGGAACAGCGGATCTGATATCGTATGAAATTGTGGCGCTGGAGCCAGATTTAAAGTTGGCTGAGTCGTCGATTGGAACTGGCGGGCTTTGCGGGTCTGTTCTGTTGAATTACGCATTCGAGGAGCATTGCAGGAAGAGATTGGGAAGAGGGGTTTATAATGGGTTGAAGCCGAAGACTAGAGCTATGGCAATGAAGTATTGGGATGAGTATGTTAAGCGGAACTTTAAATATATAAATTCCGCGACGAGCGACGGGAGCGAGGATGGTGAGGATGAAGAGGAGATATCAGTGCCATTTCCAGGACTCCCAGATGATGAGGAGAAAAGGGTTGAGAGCGGTTTTTTAATGCTGAAAAAGGATGAATTGAGGGATATTTTTGAACCTGTTGTGGAACAAGTCGTAGATTTGTGCGAAGATCAGGTTGAAACAATCAGAAGAAAGGGTGGAAAAGTCAAGGTACGTTCTCTCTGTAAGACTACAACTGGGACTCAGCACTTACAATGAACGAAAACAGGGTATCGTGTTAGTTGGTGGATTCGGTCAAAGTAATTACCTGTATAATCGTCTCGATTCACACTTTAATTCTCCACCTCCATATGGCGATACTCCAATATCAATCGCACCACTACCGAAGGTTGAGATTATGCAGCCGCTATATGCATGGACTGCTGTTGTCAGGGGTGCCGTCCTCAGAGGGTTAGAAGGATCTATAATAGCATCTCGGAAGGCTCGATATCACTATGGGACGAGCTATGCAACTGTGTGGGAAGAAGGCAAACACCCAAAGGCAGAACGTTACTGGAGCCCTCTATGGGAGCGATGGATGATTGATGATCGAATGGAATGGCGTAATTGACCCCCCCCCCCCCCCTTTTCTTTCTTCGGGGCCCCTCCACCACGATTGATTTATCTCTTCAATGCAAAGTTACTAACTGGCGCAGACATAAACCGTGGTCAGTCCATTTCCGAAAATACACCAATAAGATTTCATTACACGCGCAACTTCGAATCCTCACTCATAGTCGAGGAGGAATTAATGATTTGCGAGTCTGCGATTGCACCCATGACCCGTAAAGATCAGAGCGTTCGTCCGCTCTGTACACTGAAAACGGACCTTTCTGCGGTGCCGAAGAAGGAATTTACAAGGTTAGAAACAAGTGATGGCAGAGTTTTTATGAATTTGGATTTTGCCCTCGAGCTGAGAGTGGATTCGGCAAGCTTGATGTTTGAATTAAAGGTGAAGGGGGTAAGTGTCTATGCACGTGACTCTTGAGGAAGTGGTCATTACTAACTAGGCGAGTATCAGATTTCATATGGCTCTGTGACAGCTACATTCCATTAGGAGGGTTTTCTTTTTTTAGTAGTAATTGGATTCGGATGATGGAGACATGCGGTAATTATGAAATTATGAACCAGTTGTTGTAACGTAATTCAGGTGAAACCTATCATTGACCCCACCTGGATAATTTCGGCAGCACATTCTACCAAGCGCACAAGGCAGAAAGACTGAAGATGAATCAGTTCTCAGACTTCCTGAGAATAATTGTATCGGCAACAAAGACGAAGAAGTTGTTGGTAGTATCCTGGAGGGACCGATCGAGCTATTATTGGAGGTATCTACCATGCACGCAGGGCACCACCCACTATATTCTCAAAACATTCCCGTATCAAATTTACGCCTATCTGAATTTAAGACGAGACTAATAAAAATTTTCATCTTTTGGAATTATTTTATAACCACCTGGTCGCGAAAGGGAAATAAATTCGCGTGCGTTACCGTTTCCATTGTCATTGATACGAGAGCTATGCTCTGATTATGACGTCTCTGTCTACACACAGGGAGACGTAGGCTAGGCTTCTCTATCTGCTATAAAGATCAGCCTACCCCTCTTGTAGGAGAAATATTCAAATTCTCTCACTCTCACTCTCACTCTCAAAAACTCGAAAGAAAAAGACTTGACACTCTGAAACCCATTTAAATTTCCCCCATCTCCTTCAATCTTCCAATTTATAAATCTCAAACCTCACACCAGAAAACAATTAAAATGAAAATCTCTCTGTTAAGTATCGCTGTATGCATGCCCGCCCTCGGGTTTGTCGCAGCCAGACCAACCGCCCAGGCACCCGCCCACTCCGGCACCGTGTATTCGTATTGGGACTATATTATTTCTGAGCACTCGCACACCCCTATCACAAAGAGGGAGTCTCGTATTGTGCCTGTCTCTAAGAACGGTATGCTAGTTTTTTTCTTTTTCTTTTCCCTCTCCCCTTCTCCCTTTATACGCACTTGTGGCTGTTTTGTCGTATGATATCATGGCTTTTGTGGGTTTTGTTGTCATGACATATATATACGTCGTGTGTGCATACTTTGTCATTGTCGAACTTTTGTTTCGTCATAGATTTCCCAATTGGGCCGTTTTCATTACAATGACGATTCACGATACCCTCACCGCTGCATCATATACCACACGCACTACTTCAAATTCAGCACTAACAATACTCCCCCAGAAAACGACAAGTTCCTCGACCGCTGGGCTACAAACTTCAACACCCCCGCTCCCGAGCCCGTTGTGGTTCCCCCGACAACTTCCCGAACTATAGTCGGCACGCTCACCTCCGCCGCCGACGCCCTCTTCGGCTCGTGGGGCAAGGGTGCAAAGGACTCCGAGCCCGGCCCGTACGCCCACCCCCCGACCCGCCATACCGACAGCAGCGCCGACCGCTACTCCAAGTATGCTTCTTCCAACATGGACGATGACGCACCGCCCAGGTACGAAGATATCTTTGAAACAGACAATATCATGGACTGGAGGACTGCTCCGTCTCACCAGAGTGATGACGAGACTGCCGGCCCGAGTGGGTATTCGTATTTCGCGGATGACAAGGGGGGAATGAGTGGATACTCTTCCTCTTCCAGCAATGACGATGAGCCTTTCAATCCCGACGGGGGCTCGGCTACTAACTACTGGTCTGAGCTTTTAGCGCCAGAGAAGGTCGTGGTCATGCCCGGGAATCCGTTGACTGCCGAGGGGTTGGCCGAGGAGATCTGGAGGCAGGCTGATGCGGGGCACTCCACGGAAGAGACAAATTATTGGAACACTGAGCCAGAAGTCAAGCGCTCTGGTACGTTTAATCTCTCCTGCATGTCTGTGTTTTTTTTGCATTGCTAATTGTTTGGGTATGTAGGTTGGCAGAAATTCCTCGACTGGTGTAAGAAAGCCTGGAATACCGTCAAGGGCGTGTTCACCAAAAAGGACTAGGTTGCCTTGATGCGGGGTGGCCGATGGCCTTTTGGTTGTTGTTCTCATCTAATTTGTGGTGTCTTGAGGGGGTAGATGCTGGGATATTTAACGTTGTTTTTTGTTTTTTTATTGGAAAATAGACGGGCTTTTTCACAGAGTAGAGGCCTTTTCGGAGTTTTTTAGTTTCTTTTTTATTCAAACACTTGCTTTCATCGATAGATTTTAGATAGTATGGATTGATTTATACATCTAAGATACGAAGTACATGTATGAGTTATCATGAAGAGAGATGAACAGAACACGCTTCCACAAACATCCAGCATTCTCAAAACCTCTCCCAAGCCCTCAGGATCTCCCAGACCCTACAGCGTGACAAAAAAATATTATCCGAGACATCCATACTCGGTCCACAACTACCACAAAGAGGATTTCCGAGTGATATTCTATGAATAGGATCACTCAACAAAACCACCGACATCGTCAGTTTTCAATCTTTGTAGGCATATATGTAAGTCAGGAGAGTTCTACGAGCAGAAATAAACGGAAGAAAGTTTAGTCCTTAGGCCCCAAGTTTAGTGGAGGCATCACTGGAAAGAAAATATGTATCTATTCATCCGTGAGACGCTCAAGAGAAAGGAAATCCCTACAAGTGCCCCCCGATATGACACCGACCAAACGAAAGACAAAAGGAAACTTGCGAGATGAGCGAAGCCAAAGAGAAAGAGAAGGACCAATTCCGATGCTAACACATCCAAGCTTTTCTTCGCCCCACTCCACACCACTCCCGAAACACCAAAAATAAATCACAATCCGCAAATCAATCATTTCCAACGTGTTCGGTCATAGAATGATGAAAGCTAGGCATCCCGTCCGCTCTGCCATATATAACCATCATATCGCCTAGTTAGTACTGCAGTGGGTGACCATGTGGGAATCCTGGGTACCGAACTCAAGTTTTTTGTTTTTGCTACGGTGGGAGGTGGGGTGGGAGTTGGCATGGATCGTTTTCAAGCATAGGCGTGCGCCAACTGGTCAAGCGATACTAATAGAAGCGTCATTTTTGAGGCCTTGGGGGGACGAGATGTCTGGACTCTAGAGACGAAGAAATTTTTAGTGTAGAGCAGGGTGAACCTTGCTCGCGCTAGTGCTAGCCTACTACCAGATACGACGGCATGAAAGGAAACTTGGCGACACCTCATCCTTTGGTTTAAGGCTTACACGTATTTTTCAGTCTTATGGAATTCTTGATTTCTTATATACGGCTTATATACGGCTTATTGGAGGCTTATGTGAAGAAACAGCTTGTTAATTTTTTACAAGGGTTATATGGCGTTTAGAAAAGGTTTGCCTCAAGTATAAAAGTGCTGAAATGATTTAGAGAATTCGTAGAACGGTTCTTAAGGCACTCGTGTTCACATTAGAAACTTCACATTGTGTGAATCGTCCGTCGCATGAATTAAACAAAAAAAAAAAAAAAAAAAAAAAAAAAGCATCGTCCGTCGCTGCTTCTAGGATAAAGTAATCGGTGGTAATTCTCCCTACGTAAATGTACATTTGACTGTGTGGGGTGGGGGATGGGCTTAATTCAATCGCGGTTCGAGTGATGAGGCGTGAACATGGCGTTGCAGGGCAAAGCAGTCACTGAGCTAACCAAATATAAAACCCACAAACTGATCATTACCTACGTGTTCGGTCATAGAATGATGAAAGCTAGGCATCCCGTCCGCTCTGCCATATATAACCATCATATCGCCTAGTTAGTACTGCAGTGGGTGACCATGTGGGAATCCTGGGTACCGAACTCTTTTTTTCTTTTCGCTTCGGTGGGCGGGTTGGGGTGGAGGAAGTGGGGGCGGGTTTTGTTGAGAGTGGGGAAGATCTGGTGGTTTGGCAACCAGATACGCGTGCCAACAGTATGGCTACATGTATCTGTTAGCGGTGCCGATAGAAACATCATTTTCGAGGTTTTAAAGGACTCTGGAAGGATCTTTTAGTGCAGGGCGGGGTCAACCTTGCTAACGCTAGCGGATAAGAGGACATCAAAGAAAAACTTGGCGACACCTAATTTTTCGGAGTATAAGCCTTATTTCAGTCTTATGGCATGCTTATAGGAGGCTTACGGAAGGCTTATATGAGGCTTATTATGAGGAAGTGGTCTTCTAAGAGTTTATGTTCTAAACGTATTACGTGGGGTTTAGAAAAGGGTTATCTTGAGGTCGGGCTCACACAGAACTTCTATTAAAGCACTCAGTTTCTACTGGAATCTCCAGGTTATGCACGCTGGATAGGCCAAGATGGTTGAGATTTTGCAGTCGTTCCTCGCTGATTCTGAATAAAACCAATCAATCTCAATCCTCTCTAATACTGTGTGGGCGGAGATTCGGTTAATTCGATCACGATTCGAGTGATGAGCTGTGAATGTGGTGGCAGAGTGGTCCACGAACAAAACCGACCGCTTGATATAACAACGGTCCTAGGAGGTTTTGGATATCTCCTTCTAACAACTCTTCAGATCAGGAGCTCCGTATACATACTAACCTCTAAAAGACGTGCACGTACTTAATTTATCGACGTTACTTGCAATCATCGCAGACAAGTAATGCCAAAAATTGTGAAAAATTGTGAAAAATTACAGAACAGATGTCACCACCTGGACAGTTCACTGTTAAGACTTGACGACCCACCCTTGAGAGAAATGGCAGCCACACGTTACTCCACCCCTTTACAAAGTAAATCACCTTCTGTCCCATATGTATTTAGCATGGTTAAGGGCATAGGGGTACTCCCCCGCCCCACCCCGGCGTACACAGCCGTCAAGGACGAAAATGTAAAGTCCACAAATCGATCATTGCCAACGTGTTCGGTCATAGAATGATGAAAGCTAGGCATCCCGTTCGCTCTGCCATATATAACCATCATATCGCCTAGTTAGTACTGCAGTGGGTGACCATGTGGGAATCCTGGGTACCGAACTCACCCCTTTCTTTTTACTTTTTGGTTGTGATGGTAGTGATAACGCCTGGGAGTTGGCAACCAGATTGACTTGCCCGTCGAACGAGTTTCTTTAAGCGATTACAGTAAGAGAGTCTGGTTTTACTTTTAATAGATCGCGGGATTTCTGGAGATGAAAACTAATGTTTGTAGGCGCGGGGACAAGGGTCAACTGGTGCAACTATGTACTAGCTAGCCCGACTAGGTGGCCCTAATGACACTCGGCGATGCCTTCTCAGTGATTCTCAACAGTGACCAGAAATACAGATTCGGTAAACTCAGAAAATTCTAGATATATATGCACTCAAAGCACTGTTTCCTATCAGAACTCTCCTATCGAAATATCCTTGTAGCGTGTCTGATTTTACGGTTACTATCCGTTATGATTTGCCGGAGGATTAAATGAAGATTCTACACCGGCATGTCCCTATTTGTTCTGGGAACATGGAGTTTCAGCAACAGCTTCGAGCTAGAAGGTTCAATCGCTCAGTACTGGAATCCGGCGCCCTTCTAGTGAGAGGGATAGCATCGGCGTAGAAACCCAAAGAAAAGAGACCGAAAGTGCAGATATTACCCTCGTACATGCAGCTTGAAGTCTGAGCTTTCGCTGCACAGTTAACAATTTCTTTTGCGTTCCCGTTGAGCTCCAGCGAGATGACATCAAACATGTCGAAGAGAACACCGCGTGCAAGAGTTCTCGCGGGGAAGGTTCAAGCACTCCTGGTCACTCCTCGCAATTTAATTTACATACACCTGTCATGACGCCGAATTCCTTGCATCCCTTCGTTCGTGCCCGGTTTTTGTAAGAAAAAGCCGAGTTGATATTCAAAACACTAACTGCTATCCTGTAGAGTGGAAAGATCTGTTGAAAAAGAGGTCACAAACTGTGACTTCGAGCCTAAAGAGGCCCGCGGAGTATGGGTTAGGTGTACTAAAGATGAAAGTCACTGGAACAAGTTAAACACCCCCCAATAGCGTTTCTCGTCACAAAAACGAACGAAGGGATCTCCGTTACAACAATGTTTCCATTCAGCTTTGCTTCACGACGTTATCGCATTGTTCTGTCATACGATAAATGTTACATAGCTTTCCTTCAACAATCACGTACTTTAATTTTTTACTCTCTTTACCGTTTCCACAACTACAGCAACCGCCACAGAATGTCTGGCCTGAACATCGTTCGTCGATTTGTCGGTTGCCGCCAGCTTCAGGGTTTTTGCGGTCCACTAGTGGCAAGAAGGGCTTCTACCACGATCAGACAGGCAAGTCTTCAGTCTCACGGTACTAGCTTGTTCGTGTTGCTCATGCAAGCCGAGTGGCTAATTCAGAGAAACCTAAATAACGACGGCCATGGCTCATCCGATCTTGAGGGTCCAAGGAAGAAGGCATCTTTTGCATCAAGATATGTCCCTACGCGGGACGAATTCCACCGACTTACTAAAGTAAGCACTTAATAGTACTTTGGAGAATATAAGCCATAATATTAATGAGCTTATTAAATTAGAACATCACAGTCCTCAAGACTCACGCGGCCGAATTCGAGTCATGTGTTAAGGATTTGGAGAAGAAATTTGACCAGGGATTTAACCGTTTACTCTTCCTTATCGTGGGTTCCTTCCTATTAGTAGTGGGGTGGGATATCTATAAGCTTAAGGAGGAACATTCGGAGGCTTGAGCTGTTGAAGGAGACCGTGTTTAGGTTGGGGGGATGTGTTAACAAGGAATCATATGTAAAGGCTGAAGAGGTCCTCAGTCGTTAGTAAGTGATGATGATGTGCCAAATCCCCCAACTAAAGAATGTAGGTAACTGATGAAAATTGACATAGTTTTCGCCTGTTCAGGCTGTGGGGGCTAATTCTTATTTACATATGGTGATCATAGCGTTTTGTATTTTTATCCTTTTTTTATTTGGTGTATGGTGCATTATAAATAGAGGGGGTTTTGCTGCTTGCAAGAAATAGATGGCTTAATTACTATATGTAGGTGAATAGAAGAATGTTTTCCACCCCCGAAGGTACAGTTGTTTATAGTTTAGGTATTTTCCACCAAAGTTATATTATCTTGTTGCTTAACGAGCCGGGGGGGGGGGGGGGGGGCGTATAACTAAGCCCGACAGCTGCAAAGAAATACTTACCAGCGAAGCGAGCAAAAGGAAGAGAAGTGAGTGAATGGAGCGTTTAGTTACATATATAGTAGGTTTATATATTGGTCACTCGCTGTCACTCGGTGTCAATCGCCTGTTGCAATTGGGCTTCAAGGATGGCATGCAGGGGCCTAGCTATTGGACGGCTTTAGTTGTGTTTAATTTCTCTGTTTATCTGAAAACTACTAGCTATCAAAGTATTCATGCCAATCTAACCTCGCTGCAGATCACCATGGAGGTAATATATTGCTATCAAACAGTAGATTATTAGAGGGCCACTAATCTTCGTCCACTGCTAACTAGACTACATGTAACTAACTACAAACTACACAACAACTAACCAAGGCACTAACCAAGGACAAGTCCAGCCAGGATCAAACTAGATAACACTAACGCCAGTACAATATGCAATCGACACTGTCAATACACAGGAAAAGAGGAAGAAAGTCAAAAGAAAAGCACCAGAAAGAGAAAGAAAGAAAAGAAAAGCCCACAACCAGCCCGCCCCCTCCCTAGTCCTCCTTCCCCCCCTTCCCCCCCCTCTCCTTCCCCTCCTCCTCCTGGCCCACCTCCAAGATCTCCTCCGCCGCCCTCTCCATCCACACCTTCACCCACCCACCCACCTGTCCCCACGTAAACACAAAGAAATTCACCACCCCGATCGCCACCACCACCCAACTAATCTGCGCCGCCCGGTCCCTACCCGTCCGTCCAATCCCACTGCCAATCCCACTACTACGCAGATTCCACACCGGATTCGGCAGCAGATACACCACCTTCAGAAACCCCAGCAGCCCCAGCGACGCAAAGCCCTTCAACATATGCTCGACCACGCCGCCCGCGCGTCCCGTCAGCGACAACGGCTGCTGCACCACCGCCGCCGCGCCCCCGGTGGTGGAGGAGGTGCGGCCAAGAAACAGCGCCGGCGGGTCAAGATACGTGTTGATGATGGGCTCGGAGACGAAGCCGAGCAGATACACGGCGAGCACCATGATGCCGGTTGTGAGGCCGAAGCGCAGCGCGGGGGAGCCGATGATGGCGGCCAGCTTGAGGCGGCGGAAGCGGTACTGGTAGTGGCAGGTGGGGCATTGGTAGAAGTTTGTTTGGTTCGCCGAGAGGAGGCGCCATTGTTGTAGGCAGCCTTGGTGCACGTAGCGGGAGGAGCCCTTGCAGGTGCAGGGGGAGATGAGGCGGCCGAGCTCGGGGTCGGGGGCGTAGGGGTAGGGCACTTGGTCAAAGCAGATGCGGCAGGTGTGGGTGTCGAGGGGGGAGGGGGTGAGGGGGGTGAGGGGGGTGAGGGGGGTGGGGAGGGGGGCGAGGCGGTGAAGGTGCTGAAGGGGGGGTCGTGGGTTTCCATGGTGGTGGTGGAGGCTCTTCTTCTTCTGAGCTGTAGCTAGATGGAGTGTAGAGAGCAATCACAGAGACTGTAGATAGTGGAGAGAGTGTAGAGACTGTCTGTAGATATTATCGCAGTGTACAGCGTGGAGTGTGAAGTGTAGGAGATCAGAGGTCTTCTGGTGGTGGATAGTGGTGATGTCTTTTGGTGCTTATCCTCTCCCCCGTCCCCGGAAGCGGCAACGTCAAAGCTCTGGCTGGGGTGCTGCCGCCGCTAGCTAAAAAAAAAAAAAAGGTGCAGCGATCATCGAGAAGATTCCACTGCAACGAATTAAGGCAACGGAGCTGGGAAACACCACAGTCAGTCATTGCTCGATTGATTATACCGAATTGGTACAGCGATATAGGTACTCTGCTCTTGGGGGTAGTAGATTGGAGCTGTATCAATTAGTATCTAGAGCTCAGAAAGAGCGCCCAGCTGTGGGCATTGAATGCTTCAATTGAAGCTCACTTCCCCCATGGCTTTTCAAAGACGCGCTCCGATCAATTGACCGAACCATTTCCCGTGATTGATTGCCAAGAGCCTGGAAGGTTGGCTATCCGCAGCACATGGGTGTGGTCGATCATTTCTCTTGTATGTAAAACCACAGTGCATGCGGTGCAAACCGTAAAACAGAGCCCTCCTAGCCATTGTCGACGGCGAAATGTAGCCCTTAAGGTGTAGAGAGCTTAATCACCCGTTCGATCAACTGTGCGTTCTCAGGATCCAGAATATATATGTGTATGTAGAAGGCCAGAGACTCGTATGTTCGAGGTTTTAGGATCAGTTGTCAATCATTAATTACCAGCTGCAGTGCATCCACGAAGCCCAAAAACTAGGTGTAGGCCTGGCTCTATCCCAGCTGAATTAAATGATGTATGACTGCCGTAAAATTATCATGTATACCACAAGAATCCATGAGAGATAGGAGACGATACTACCGGCTAGTTATAAAGCTACCCTATCTCTCCCGCCGCGTCGTCTCGACGTGGTGTATCTAGTAAATGCTATTCTCGATCCGCCGCCCCTCCTCGTCGAGCTTGTGGTACTAGGAATTGTGATTGTCTCGGACAAACTGTCTGTAATTAGTTGATTGATAATTCATTAACTGTGCGCATGGGCTCTCTGAGTGGGTGGGTTAGCCATCGAGTATTATGGCATAGGGACTTAGCGTATATATGGAGCTCCATCACCCATGACCCCAGCGGGGCCACTGCCTTCGCAACAAGTGGATTATTTACACCCCTAGGAATTCTTTGACAACACCGGTTTAGTTTCTTCTCTTGTCTTTTGCTTCATTGATTGGACTTTACTGAGAATTACCTATAAATGAAAAATTCACGGTAAGAACCAGAAGGTTATTACATAGAAATATAAATACTAAACTAGAGGGTCAATGGCAACAATTTCAAGCCCTGATTCAGAACATCCTTCACCGCAGTGTCTCCGTTACACATTGAAACCGCAGAAACCTAAAATATAGGAGAATTCTGCTATGAAATGGGGGGGTTATGTGAGCACTTTAAGTGCTTCATGTATTTAGATACTTCGGATCTGAGGTTTCCATACGTACGGGCACCTCTATATTTCTAATCACTGTTTTGTGTGCCAATGATGCTGTCTATGTACATGTAAATTAGTATGTGTGTCATGTTAGGTAGCTTTTATTGACGCTATCTGACCCCTGTCCGTGCACTAACAAACTTTTCATCTCCAGAACCCTTGTTCCCCCGAGTCCCAATGACGAGCCTCGAGGACATCAAAACAGACTCTATCACCCTCTTCGCTTATAGAAGATCATCGCGTATCCATCCAGTTGCCACCCCCTAACTTTCACTAAGAAATCTTCACCACCGTTTCACCAAAATGCCTCCCCATCAACGCCAACAACAAAAAGAAAAAAGAGTTCGGTACCCAGGATTCCCACATGGTCACCCACTGCAGTACTAACTAGGCGATATGATGGTTATATATGGCAGAGCGGACGGGATGCCTAGCTTTCATCATTCTATGACCGAACACGTTGGTAATGATTGATTTGTGGGTTTTAATTTGAAAAGGTGTTGGAGCGCTGGAGCTCTGGGCTTTTTTTTTATAACCTTTATATAAGCCTCCGCCGCACTAGAGAGCTACAACATATAAGAAGCTGAATACCACGTCAAGCGATGATCCCGGAATACAGTTGTCTCTCGATGTAAGGATATGGTCGAGAAATCTGTACCCTTATAAGGCAAGTATCACTTAGTATATATTGTAAATGCCCTCAACGGGTATCTGAAGAACGTTCCTCAATGCTACCGTTATCCCCTCTGGAAGAACTCGGTGAGTTGTAGAGGGCCAGTAACCACAAAATCCCTATTGCGATCAATGAAACTATAATGCTGAGTTGGGACTTTGAGGGCACCGTGTTGGGGAACCATTTAGTACGGTTTAGTACTCTTTTAAATTTATGTTCGCTTGATCACCATCAGGCCATCCTACTCCTTATACCCAAACTAAAAAGGTTAATATCGAACTGTACTAAATTCTTCAAACGTCTTCAAGGCCCCACGGAAAATGCGGACTTTTACTATGGACATCTCTACCAGAATAGCTGATCGGAATTTGTGTGACAATGATATCAACTGCATGTAAATTAGTAAGTAGGCTTCACTAGCGCTAACTGGCCCCTGTCCCTGCACTAACAAACTTTTCACTTCCAGAATCCTTCTCTAACATCTTGAGAAAGCAACAACAGACTGTTCACCGCCTTTGCTTGCAGAGAATTATTCAGTTGCTAAACCGCTACTCTCAAACTCCATCACCATGCAAAATCACCCGGGGTTTTACCACAACCATGTCAACAACAACAAAAACAAAAGAGTTCGGTACCCAGGATTCCCACATGGTCACCCACTGCAGTACTAACTAGGCGATATGATGGTTATATATGGCAGAGCGGACGGGATGCCTAGCTTTCATCATTCTATGACCGAACACGTTAGCAATGATTAAATTGTAGGTTTTATTTTGGCCGGGGTGTGGGGTGTGGGTTGAGGGGTCCCTGCCAAATCGTGAGATTGTAAAGGGTGCGGTTTAGAGGCGGAGTAAGACTGGGAAGAACTCTTGAAATGGTCTTGGCTTGAAGAAACTCCTATAAATTTACTTACATGTCTACGGCAGGTTTGGTAATAAGAGTGAAGTCTAAAATGGCACCACGAGAGCCTTCTGCATTCAGCACCCCCCCAATCCGTCCCGGATTTTCACGGCTTTCTAAAATCCCCCAGGTCCCTCGGTCCAGTTGCCCAAGCAGGAAAAACACATAACAAGACAGATGCTGGGGTACTAAGACAATACTGATCATCATGTATCACTCGGGCACCTTTCTCGCCGATTCTCGATAAAACAGCGAGATTTATTTATTACGAAAGCTATTTGGTACTACACCATTCAAAGAAAGAAAGAAGCATAAATGACACCAATATTACTGAACCACAAATGAAAACCGGGGGGGGGGGGGGGGGGGGGGGGGGGGGCTGATGAAACAAAAGGAAAGAGTGAGTGAGTGACAGAAAGAAAGAAAGAGAGCTATAAATGAAACTAGCCAGAGGCCACAATATCAATATCACCACACCTTCTATATCAGCAGCGTCACAGTTATACGTCCATGGAAGAAAGAGAAAGTGATGGCAACATAAGAACAGAAGAAAGAAAATCCCACCGACAACAAGAAAAAAGGTCCTCAAGGCGCCATAACCCCCTCCGTAAATAACATCAACCTCACACCTCCCTCCTCCACAACTCCGTCCTCCGGCTCCACAACTTCTTCCTCCCCCATCTTGCCCAAATGCACCAAGCACTTCTCACCACCCACCTGCCCCACGTCCACCCCCATCATCCCAATCGCCCACATAAACCTCCTCACCCTCGCGACATCCATCTGCGCATAACCCCTCCCCACACACCACGGCCCCTTCCCACCCTCGCCCCCGGCAACCACCCCACCTCCACCACCATTCTTCACCCCCACCGGCAACACCAACCACACCTTCTCCTTCACCCCAGTCCCAACCCCCTCCACAAACGCCGCCAACCCCCAGAACCTCTTCAAAAACGACCCCATTCCCAGTTTCGCTCCATCACCACCGCTGCTGCCTTCACCGCCCCACAGGTTCCTCCCAGACATAAGCCGCTTCCCAATTTCCTCTTCCACAGAGGCTAACAGTTTAGCACGGCACTTGCACACCCTTCTGCGCAGTGCCTCCTCCCTGCTCAGTCCCCCCTGGGGCACAGGAGCACGGCAGCGCATACACATGCCCTGTGACTTCAGCCCGGCGTCCCATGAGTCTTGGACAGAGCGGCGGACGGCAACGAAGAGGTAGTGCTCGATGAGGGCTGAGACAGATAACGGGAGGCGTGAGATAGGTGGTAGGAGAGTAGAGGTGTGGTGCGTTGATGTGCCATATTGGTGGCAGAGACGGAAGCAGTGCAGGGCAGGTAGGAGGAGGGAGTGTGCGGTGAGGGCGAGGAAGAGGGGATCTTGGGGACTGGGTGGGCCCAGAGGAGGAGTGGGGAGGTCTTTTGGGGGGGGGCTGGCTTCGGGGTGGAGGCGGCCGGGGTCGTCATTTAGAGGATATGTGTGTGCTGATTTGAGTATTTATTTGATGAAGTGAGCAAGATTGTAGGATTATGAGCCGTAAATTTGAGTGTTCCTAGATGAGAGATTGATGAGAGATGAGATGAAGGATGAAGGAGGACAGAAGAACGATCCTGAGAGACAAGGAGAGTAGAACAGACCACGTCCATGTTTTTATTATACTCACATATGCCTAAACCAAAGTACATTTATATTAGCAGACAGGCCAGCCTAGCCCACATGGGCCTATTCTAGATCCAATGAAGAAGCCTTTACACACTCCTCAAGAAGATACAATGTGCTACTTAAACCTACGAAACATACCAAGCCAATAAGATGCAGAGATCACAGATTATCACTCGGTGGTTTATTAATTTGGCGGGTGATCGAGGGTGATCGAGAGTGATTATCGTCGACTCAATCTCAAAAAAACTACAGATTATTGAAGAAAACCAACACATCGTAACTTAGAAGCAAGACTACGAATGTATTTCATGAAGCTAACAGAAAAACTTTAATGCGGTGAGATGCGCAGGATACTTGAGATGCAGCTTCACGTTGGACTTCCTGTCCAAGTGTCTATTTTGACATGAGCATATTCTCATTTCCCGTCAAATCCCTCCTCTTCCTCCCCTCCTCCTCTGCTCTCAGCATATATTATATATCGCCAGGCTCCTATCCCAGAAGCCTCACTTCTTCCACAACATCCACGCCACAAACACCACAACTCCCTCCATCGCCCACCCAGACAACAGATACGCAGAAAGTACCAACCTCACAATCCCCATACTAACCAACACCAGCAACATACACACCTGAAGCACCACCATGACCTTCTCAAACAACCCCCCAATCGACAACAAACCCCCAGCTTTACCCTCAAAGCCTACAGCCGCCACCGGATCCCACCCATCCATCGACATCCCCTCCCTTCGTCGAACCTACAGATTGCCACGCTGCCCACGATCACATCCTTTGCCAACCTCTTGCCCTGATACTTGCGGACTGCCGCCTCTGCATCAAACTTATGCACGCGCACCCTTGGTCCCCCGAATACACCGTATTGACAACCGTCACCTTCAACTTAATCTCCGGCAACTTGACCTCTTCTGAGGGATCCTGCTCCTCTTTATACCTGGGCTCAGGGATCAAGAACCCCCGGTCGAAAAACTCCTTCCTAACAGCCGCCACAAAGTCCCTCAGCCTCTCATAGCCATCAGCGATCTTATTACCAGTAGGAACCGTATACAGAACTCCCGTGCGCCACTTTCCGCTCCCCGTCTCGAGGCCCCTCAGGTCCGTCTCGATGGTCTCATACCCACCGCCCCAGGTGACTTGGCGGACAAGATACCTAAAATTAATCTCGTTGAGGAGCTTGATAGCGGCTCTCTCGGCCGCGTAGGTAGGGAGCGAGAGCTGGCCCAGCGGGATCATGAGAGCTGAGGCGGGGCGGATGGCGCTGGTGAGGACGACCTTTTGGTCCTGGTGAAGGTAGGAGGTGAGGGTGTTGGTCATGGTAAGGAGGGTTTCGTTGAAAGGTGATGGGGCTGGGGTGAGCGGGGGGTTGTGGCCAAGGGGGAGGCAGAGGAAGTGGGTTGGTTTGGGTTTGGACTTTGGTTTTGGGGGGGGCGGGGTGGGTTCCGTTGAGAATTGGGATGCCATTGGGGATGTGGATTCCATTGAGGATGGAGATTCCATTGAGGGTGGAGATTCCATTGAGGATGGGGAATCCGTTGAGGATGAGGATTCCATCGATAATGGAGACTCCATCGTAGATGGGAATTCCATTGAAGGTGAGGACGCCATTGATGATGGTGAATCCATTGGGGATACGGAATCCATTGGGGATGAGGGAGGTGTCATCGGTGAAGGAGAAGATGTCATTGGTGATCTCTTAGACAGTTGAGATGGAAAGATGGAAAGATGTGGAAATGGAGAGATGGAGGGTGTGGTATAAGGAAGAAGAAGGAAAAGTCGGATAGAAGGTGCTTTTGGAAGAGCTTAGATGTGAGGAGGCCATTTAAACCTCATCCTCTGTTTAAACCGTATATCTAACCTTTACAGGGATACAAATACTTACAAACGAAACGCGGGCGTACTCGCCCTATGATAATACTACAAGTTAAATTATCTTAATGTCAAGGAGGATACATTTCTTCTCGAATAGAAATACTCACGACAATAAAGACAATTACTCTCCCTTTGTGATAGGGATACATCCATGTATTTAGGCTTCTTCCTCTAAACCGTGTACATACATATCTGACCTTTACAGAAACACAAATAACAAACGAAACGCAGTCGACTTGCACTACGATTATAAGCTGCAAATTCCGCCGTCTCGTCTTTATATCAAGGGGGGTGTAAGCCTTCAGTACACGTTTTTCTGGTTTTTAGTACAAATCCTCTCTGGCCATAAAGAAAGACAACTATAAAGAAAGACAGTCATCCGCCCTGTGTTGTGATAGGCTCCGTCCTCTAAGCCGTATATCTGACCCCTTACAGGACACAAATACTTACAAACGAAACACCCTATGACGATGAACTCCAAATGAAGGGTATTTGTATTCACTACTTACATGTATTTCTGTTCCCGTGAGTACAAATCCTCTCTGGCCATCTATATACTTGCCTGTAACTACCCACCCCGCGGCGAGGCTGTTTAAACCACATCCTCTGAACAGTACTCCATATGCACATCCGACCTTTACGAGACACCCCACGACGACGACACGCAACCAACTGCAAGTCCAACTATCTTGTATTTAGTAACGACATGTATCCAGCCAGTACATATCTCTAATCTTATGAGTATCCCCGTGAGGATAAGACAATTACTCGCCCTATGAGTGCCCCAACTGGCCGGTATCTTCAACAAAAAGTAGTGTGATTACGAGCGAGTGATCTCTGGTGAAACGAGACGCACGGGTGTACGTCGGCATAGCTACCCTGGTATTAACACTACAGGCCTATCATGATAACCGTTGCTTCGATAGGAAGGTCTAGCTAGACCATACTCTACAGATCTAAACACCCAGGGCTCCCAAGGTTCCCAAGGACGAAAGGAGGCAAGGGATCAAGACTTCGGATTGACACTCCAGTCAGTGACGCCGGTTGAGGCTCCCTGTCCCACAACGTCTTCCGCCGGGAAAATGGAAAAAATGGCCATCTTCCGAGGAGGGACCGGTAAGATCTTGTGGAACGCATGACGGATGGATGACCTGAGTAAAAAAGATCCCGGGAATCACTCTCACCTCACACAACCACACAACCACGCAACCAGCAGCAAGCAATGAATGGGATGGGACAGGAAAGCAGGGACACCGGAATATTTTTCTTCTTGCCAAATTGCGCCTTTCTATTTCTTCCCCAATCGTCTCTGAAAAAGGAATCAAGATATAAAAGATTTTTTTTTACAAGAAAGTTCGAAGAAAGAAAAAAAAAAAAAAAAAAACACCACCAAAAAAAATAAATGCTTATTACAGAGAACCGTGCGTGCGTATCGCCAGCATACCAAAGGACCAGTTGTGCTATCTAAACCGAAACAAACTGTCTAGACCCCGTGGAACACCATCGAGACAAAACGAAAAAAAGAGTAGAGAGGGGTTCTATGTGACTTTTAAAGAGATAGGTAGGATGAGGGAACCGCTATGAGATGATTTTCGAGGGAGGGGGGTTTAGGGGGTTTATTTGGTAGCGTTGCGCAAGTGGCTAGAAGCAAAGAAGTCAGCGGGAAGCTCTAACAAAACACATGCTGATATATCAAGAGTGAAACATACGTGATCAAGTCGTTCCTGTCCTTGTCCTTCTTCAAACCACCGAAAGCCATCTTGGTTCCGGGAATGTACTTCTTGGGGTTCTCGAGGTACTCGAACTACATGCCAACTCCGTCAGCAACACCATTCCCACACACTTTGTCGTCGTAGTAGCAGTCAAACTTACCAAAGTTTTCTCATCCCAGACGACACCCTTCTGCTTGTTGGCATCGGTGTAGGCGAAGCCCTCAACGGTTCCAGACTTGCGTCCGAAGAGACCGTGAAGGTTAGGTCCGACCTTGTTGGCACCGCCCTCCTCGAGGGTGTGGCACTGGGCACAGCGGGTCTTGAACAAGTTCGCACCCTTAGCGTCGTTACCTAGTGATGAGCGGGAGTGTTAGTTATTGATGAGCTGAGATTGAAAGATCGTGTGCCCCATCATTATCATCATCATTAATTCCATTCCATTTCAATTGCACTGAGCTGCCCGGCCATCGTCGGTCAAGAGGGAAATTCCTCCCCCCACTCGAACCGATGACGACAGACAGCACAAGCGAAAAAGAAAAGAAGGAAAAATGAAGCATCGTCAAGAGCACACACAACAAAAGAGAAAGCAAGAGAGGGTGAAACAAACCTTCAGCAAAACCCATTGTGATCAAAGATTGTTGATTGAGGTTGGTAAAGTTGGTGTATGTTGTTGGAGGTGAGTGAGATGATGAGAAGAGACAAGATCAGGCTCAGGATCAGGGACGGGGAGCGGAGGTTAAAAAGCCAGCTCGGGGAAGCGGCCACGACGAAAAAAGATTTTTTTTTCTTTCTCGCACTCCCGCCGTTTGAGCTCGACAAACAAGGCACTAGGCCCAATAGTGGCGGTGACCACAGACAAGGCCTTATCCCAGCCACAGGCCTTGTCAGCCAATGACGACAAGAGTATTTGCGAGACGTTTCTTGGCCAACCGTATTCCGGGATCTCCCGGCAGGCAGGCAAGGCAAGCCCGCGGCGTGATGAGATGTACCCTACATATGTACAGCCCATCCACCCATTTTACCGTACCTATCACCGCCACAGGAGTATTACATCTCGTGAGGGTCCTTTTTTTTTTTCCTTCGTGCTGCGCGAATTTTCCTGATGGGATAAAGACTCCTGAAACGGCGCCGGATCTCGAAATAATGACGATTACATATCACGGAAGCACCGGTTTTCGTCCACACCACACACACACATGAATTCGACCATGAGGCTGAGAGAAAAACCCGAAAGAAGAAAAAAACCCACCACCGGTATCCGACTAATCTATCTTTATCTGGCCTGCAGCGCAGCAGCAGCACACAGCGCCAGGAACCACAGAAATCGGAACCCCCGCTGGGTTGCCGACGTAGGGCCGAGCCGCAACACTATGCCATTGTGTGCCATCCGTGGCCCGTGGGGGGTAAAACTCTAGCCACAGTTTGGGGTCTTCTCTGATCTGAAAAAATCCACGAGAAACTTTTTTGCAGAGTTCACGCTATCACGTGGTTATCGGGAAAAAATTAGTACTCCAGATCCTGTTGATCAGATCGAAGGGTCCAGCAAAATCTGTGTTCCGGCAAAAGGGTACACGCCCGTTAATTAAGTCCTGAGAAATTTTGTGAGGTCGTTGCTACCAAGAATTCTCAGAACTTAATTAACGCGTGAGTAGATATCGATAGATATCGCGATATCTTGCTTTTTGGTTTTTCTTCTTTTTTCTTTTCAGCATCTGCGGGAGCCTAGATAAACGTGGCCGCGAACCGCTATTGATAATCTTCTACTCTAGAAACCTCAGGCAATGACAACGAGACCTGCCTGTAAGACCTTTTCGGAGGTTTCATCGTGAGACTGGACCCTCCCGAGTCACGGGTGGCATTGCATGGCAAACGGGGTCACAAAACGGAGGTCCTGCGCGAATTTAGATAGGCTTGGTGGTAGCAGCTGATATTGAGATCAAGAGCTTGAGCATCATAGATCATTCGAATTTATCAAAATATTTGATCTGTAAGGTGGTCTTAGCAACGGTGTCCATACTCCAGCCCAACCAGACGTGTTATCTATATCATAAGATGACAGGCCTTCATTCCCCTTCGTAATGGAACTGTCCATCCTATTATTGCCTATTGAGTCTCCCTAAGGATCGTATCTTCCTTTTTCTTCCCAGACAGCAGCGGGGCTTCTAGATCTTAGGCCTGGCACAACATGTTCTCTGAAGGGACGCTCGAGGCGAGATTTAAATTTAAGAGTGTCTTCCAGGTGCCTCATTGTCTGACCTCGACGTCCAAGTATGTTGTCCTCGAGGTATGTACGGTGCTTCGAGGAACCTCGGGGACGGTTCCGGGAGAGCAAAGGGCAGTATTTAGCTTGGTATGCCCCCCCACCCTTCAAAAAAAAAAAAAAGAGCGAGTGATATTTTATGAGAATCAAGAAAGCCTCCATCGATTACTATTCAGACTTAACCAGACGGTCTAGGATCCAGTCAAACCGGCCACGAAACGGGATGCAAGAGAACGCATTTCTGATTCCCAATTTCTGCAAGCATCCAAACCGATTTCTCCCTCTGACCTGGAGTTTAATTTCCCCATGGCCAATGATGACGTGACTATAAGTGGCGAGTGATATTGCATGAGAATAGAACAGCGTAGGACGGATGGGATGTCCGTAGACATAAAGGAACAGCTAGAGATAGCTAGATACATGGGATCTTACCTACTCTAGAGCACCGCGAATGATGGTTCACTCCTCGCCGTGACGGTCCAGTCGCCGTTTTTCTCGGCAATGATATATCAGACTAGTTCTTTACCAATATGAAGAAAACCCCCCCCAAAATGCCGTTGCCGAGAAAAGGTCACAGCCAATCATCAATGAAGAAATTCCTGCACGGAGATAATCAAGTTGGCGAGTTTCTGCGGTACTTATCTAACTGATGCTCTGTGTGTTTGTGCACTGCGCAGGCGTCTCAGCCATTCAATGGAGATGCCCCCGACTGTTATCTCCATCCATCCATACTCCACCATACTGCATGCATCCATCCTAAACACACTCTCTCCGCCCAGATTCTCCGCGCCAGAGACCTCCCAAAAAACACGCCCAGACTCATCACCCCTAAATAGAGTAAAATGCCCGCGCTTAGTTACTCCTCCTCCAGGGCTAGGGTTCTACGCACGTGACCTCGAAACCCCCAGACGTCATCATCGATCGCAAAGCTTCACCACACAGCTTCCCCCCCCCAAACCTCCAACAACCTTCGATATATATATATATATATATCAGCATATCAGCAGCACATCAATCACACCACAGCAAAATCTGCAAAGATGACACCATTCCTCTCCAACCTCCTCCTCTTCTCCCCCCTCCTCGCCATCGCCGCACTAATCCTCTACGTCCTCGACCGCGCCGAGAACCTCCGCCGCGGCGCCGGTCTCATCCCCGACCCCGCGCCAGCCCCACTCCCCACCCCCGAAGAAGCAGAAACAGAAGCAGAAAAAGAAGCAGCAGCAGAAGAAGAAGAAGAAGAAGAAGAAGAAGAGGGTCCCCCCGAACTCATCGACCCCAGCGATACCGCCTCAAACCACTCCTCCAACCCGGACCTCCAAACCCCACCCCATGGCCACCTCTACCCAGACGAAGACGCCCCAGAGCTCCAAGGCGCGCCCACAGACCCCGTCTTCCCCAACCCCGCCTTCGCCCCCGCCCCCCGCACCCGCACCGTCGGCACCAAGAAGGCGCGCTCCCTCGCCTCGCGCGACCAGCGCCGCGCATACCACGAGTTCCTGCGGTCGCAGCAGGAGGAGCGTGCGCGCGCTGCCGCAGCCACCGCGGCCGACGACGAGGAGCGCGTGTTTGCCGAGAAGCGGCGGCGCGCGCTGGTGGAGGAGGAGATTGACGAGCGGGTCAAGATGCAGCGGGCGCAGCGGGCCACGGAGGAGCGAGCTGCGGCGGAGAGGTACCGGCGCGATGTGGAGAGGCTGAAGGGGTTTGTTGCCGGGGATGGGGAGGGGGAGGGGAGGGCGTGGGAGTTGGCGGCGCTGGCGGGGAAGGTGGGGAGGAGTGTGGAGTGGGTGAGGGGGGTGTTGAGGGCGGAGGGGTTGGTGGGGATGAGGGGGGCGTGTGGGGGATGTTGACGGATGGGGGGTGGTTTGTGAGGGTGGGGGGGAGGGAGATGGGAGCGCTGTATAGGGAGTTGGAGAATAGGGGGAGGATGGAGTGGGGTGAGATGGCGAAGGTCGTGGAGGGCACTCTGAGGCTCTGAAAAGGAACAGCCATCGAGAATACTGTTACCTACATACTCTCACGGCCTGAAAAGAAGCTGCCTGCTCTTCTTGGGCTTTAAATGTAAATATAGTCACATATTTTCTTTCTTTCTACTCTACTCTTTTTGCTTTTTTACTATCCGGTGTTTGGGTTTGGTCTGGGAAAAAATAGAGTTACGGTTTCTTTTCCTTAGTTTAGTCCTAGAACATCTATAGGCCGCCATCCCCCCTTCTGTCTTGCTCGTAATAAGACTCATAAACACATCCACATAACTGGCTGTCCCCTCGTATAAGAATGGCCCTGGACATTGTGGTAGCTAGATGGTTATTGATGATCTGGTTTTGGCAACGATTGGGTGGTTGATTGATTGATTGTATTCCACGGCCCAGCCCCGAGCGAGAACTGAGCACCGGGAAAACATCCTCAATTGCTACTAAACAGAAACATATTGCCATTCAACAAACCTACTAAACCACTCTGAAAATAACCCCTACTTATACCACTACTGGCAAGTCCTCAATCCCAACAGCCCCCTTTCCCCTTCCCCCCGGCCCGTCCAACGACTCGACCACGGCGGCCAGACCAAACTGCCCCAATTACTACATTGTCTCGCTTTATCAAAATCATACGAATTGTCCATTGCCCAATACAGTACATTAGCCTGTTCGATACTTCACCTGGCCTCGGTGTTGATTTCCCCGATCGGCCGTGGAAAGAGAATGATAGCGTCCATATGGTTCGATTTGAGCAGTACTCTACTGGTACCGATCAAAATCCTGTGCGACTTTTCTAGATAGACGGCGTGGTATAATTTAATATTGCGCTTGACAACAACAATATCTGCACAGTTCACAACTTGACGAATGTAGAGTAAATCTCAAAACCCCCCAAACCCAACAATCCTCTTCCACCGCCACCCCATCCACATGCACCTCTCCTCTCCTCTCTAACCCCAAAGCGCCCACGCGCGCTCCCAATTGCCTCCGCCACCCAAAAAAAAAAAGGTTTCCCCAGTCCCAAAGAGACAAGGAGCAAAAGAGATGATTTCGCCCGGGCTCGAACCGGGGACCACAAGTGTGTTAGACTTGTGTGATAACCAACTACACCACGAAACCAGTTGCCTATCTTTATCCCGGTGTATCATTTGAAGTTTTTTTCACCTGCATGGTTTTTTTTATTAGCGGTGGTGATACTAATGTTGCTGGGCTAGTCTGGAATTGGTGTGGGGGGGGCCTTGGCAATTTTTCTCGGGCTACGGATGGTGAAGCTGTGAGTTTTGGGGTGTAGAGTGGGTTTAGGAAAGGGGTTAGGGGTGTTTGTGAACGGTTTTAGAGATCGAGAAGGAGTTGGTGGAGATGTGGTTGTGGATATTGGTATGTAATTGAGGAACGAGTGCTCTCCATAGAAGCACCGGCGAAGGAACGAACAATTAGCAGATTCATCGGCCATAATACATATCTAGAAACAGTTTTTCCCCCTCTACTATTAGAGAGTATTAGTCAAGCTTAAGCGTCAATTATAGCAATTGACGTTTTTGTCTGTCACTAAAGTTGCAGCCTGGACTCTGTGCAGCTTGTGCTTGGTCACATTGACTACCAAAGCGATTTGTCGATTTCTCGTAACCGTCAGTATCAAAAGATCTCTTTCAGAAGTACGCATACGCCCATTCTCTCACTTCCAAACTTAGACATAAATCTTCCGAACCCCCACGGCTAAAGATCGAGTGATATCTCATGAGTCCTAAAACCAAAACATCACTTCAACACAAAGACTCCCATTATCCAATTAGCAAACAGAGGGCAAACCCAATGATCAGGTTTCATTTCAATTGGCTCTTACTCTTATGTTATCCAGGCGGTCGTACCGGGTGATTATCAACCTGACAAATACTATAAACGCCGGGCCCAATGGACCCATGGTCATCAATTGCAAACCGATACGACCCACTTGTATGGACGAAGCCCAACCACTAATTCCGTACGTAGATCAATGATGTACGGCGATAATCAACGTTCATAGGCCTACTATTCTAAGCACTAGTGATAACCATTACCAAAAGAGCCATACACGACAAGCCATGAGTTATCAATAAATCAATTAATCGACCATAGCAAGCCCGTCTTACCTCTCATGACCAAGCAGAAAGCAGGAAACCCAAATACGTTTTAAGCCACAATAAACCAACGACATGCCAGAACTCTCACGGCCATATTTTATGCACTCAACCGTCCCCACTGATCATGACCACTCAACTATCGTCACCACCCAGCCATCGTCCCAACCCCATCCCAACCCCAAACTGCCCTCCCCGCCACCCCAGTCTCAAACTATACAGTATCTAGATCTATCTCACACCTATCACGCCCCCTATCTATGCCACCCATAGCCAACAAAGTGTCACATTTTCACGAGCCTAAAGAAAGATTAAGGAAGAAATTCAATTGACCATCAAACGTAAGATATACAGGATTCAACAAACACCCTGTGATGTTTATAGTTAACCAACTAGAAGGAGAAGATAACACGGCAGTTCCCCAGAGCATCGATAACGCTCGTCAAAACCTTCCCCAGCATCATTGATGACTTACGACTATGGCCGGCCAGCCCGATCCCATGCCATAGGACCCGTCTTTCCACAAATAAAGCTCCCATAAAACACCCCAGCACCCCAGAGTTGAAGGCATCGATCCAATGTCTTCCTTCACCGCTCCATACATACCCAATTGACCGTGCTCGACAAACTCAATCTATTCTTCACCGCCGCCCAGCCACAACAATAACAAGAACCCGCAATCCCGCCGTCCACCACAACCACCACGGTACACCACACCCATGTCAATCCCCAACCCCCAAGACCAGCAAAAAAAGATATGATGATTACTGATTGCGCCCGGGCTTGAACCGGGGACCTTCTGTGTGTGAGACAGATGTGATAACCACTACACCACGCAACCGATGAATCACGTGTACGCATTTGAGATTTTGAAACGCAATCATGCGATCTCACTCGATTTGGCAACGTTCCGCTGCGGAAACGGTCTCTCCCAGGATTACGCGAGACTATCGCGATTCTCTTCGGATCGGCGGTGTTGGGATTGTTCTGGGCCGATTGTTGGTGATTTCGTTCATCTGCACATCTCTTGGCATTTCATGAGAATCATCACCACCGCAAAAAACAAAATTTACAACCAACACCAGAGCCTCCTCCTGTCAAACAAGCAGGCATCCGTCTCCGTGCAACTCGCCAACATCCCAGAAAATCGGACGGAGAACAAAAGAGAACGACACCGACGAGATTCGAACTCGCGCGCCCGAAGGCATCCGCTTACACTTTCCTAAGAATAGCAGGCGAACGTGTTAACCACTCCACCACAGTGTCCTAGTAGTATTTGTCCGCCTAGAAACTTAACAACCTTTTTATTCAGGGCTAGGGTTAGCATGCACATCATGTCTGCTCACTCGTCGCGCTAGGGACTGGATCTACATGCACCCCACTTTTAGGGAAGGCCAGTAGGATTAACGGACGGTTTTCGAGAGTCACGCGCGACCGTGAGTGAATTATTTTCTGGCCACTTGGAACTGGAAAAAGCAATGCAGGATGAGCGATAAACGGTTGTGACATAAAACTCGTTTGAAACGCGGTGGGAGGAGGAAGTGCAATGGTGGTTGGTTGGCCCTGGGTTGGCGATATGCGTTGAGGATCACGACGCTGGTCTGCGTATGGGGATTCGCTCCTCACTGCATCTCAACTGAAACACCAGCTACGAAATTTTTTTTGGGACTCCACGCCCCGCTGAATTGCTGCTGCGAGTAGAGTACATACGTAGGGAAATCTACCCGCAAGAGGCTCAAAAAAGTCTCTACTGCAGAGAAACTCACCGAGATAACCGCGGCGGCGCAACGACCACAAGTGGCTGCCTGAGTTGCAGTCAATCCCCGCGTTCGGCTGCCAAAAGGAAAGAAGAGGAACCTTCATTGTAAGGAGAGAGGAAAGGATGAGAAGCGTTATGTGTGGGTTGTGGTGGAACAAGTTGGAAATGTCGCCAGAGAGATGGGGAATCGCGTTTGGGTGAATGTCGATATCCGCCCGTCTGGGAATTTGATATCCAAGAGGAATGGCATTAAGAAACAACACCATTCCCTTGCCTTGTTTGCCAACCCGCCTGCCTCTGCCTTTCCTGTCCGCCTGCCTGCTTTGCCTGACATGACATGGAAACATTCCCACCTGTTTCCTTCGCTTCCTTCCCCTTCCCTCGGAGCTTCTCTTTTCCCCGCACAATTGGGGAGTATGTAGCGGAGAATTAAAATTAAAGAAAAGGAGACATCGTCACCCCACCTCCCCTTCCCACCCTTAATTTCTCTGCAGTATGATAAATGTTTTCCCTTTTCCCTTTGCTCGGCATAATAAACGCCACCCCACAAAATCCTGGAACGGAAGCACCTTCCCCCTTCTTGTTTCCCCGCAAAACGCTAAAACCGCCCCACTGCCTGCAGGTTGGGCGATTCACGTGGTACACGCATGTCGGTTCGTCGGTGGATTACAGCCTGGAGGGAGGGCAGTTCGATTAAATTGCTCTCTCGCCTGGGGGGCAGAGTTGCAACTCGACCGGTATATCGACGATCTTATCAGGCCGCTATGCAACTTGAAATAAGATGAAGAACCCCCTTTCCACCTCCCTTCGCTCGTCTCCCTTCGATCCCCCTCCCCCCCATCCATTCCATCGCGCGTGAAATAAGAAAAGCAAGCAGCTCCAAGAAATAAAGAGAAAACTTAGAAAAACAGTCAGGGTACCGAGAGGTACATAGAGCCCAGAACAGGGAAGGGGAGAGGGGTGGTGCCCGGACCCTACTACATACATACCAGATTGCCGATAAATCCCTCCAAACAGGCCTGACTGCAAGGAACAAAGTTTTTTTTGAAGTTTGCCCTGTCACGCGTCTGCTGGTCTAGAGGTACATTACATACCCACTACTGCATGCGTACGTAGAGTGACATGACATGACTCTCCTCCTTCACGACACCCCTCTCTTCGCTAAGCAGAGCAACTGTACTGAGGAGAGCTAGTTAGAGAAACTGAGAGGAGGAGGAGGAGGAGGGGGGGGGGGGGGAGTGCTTCAATAGGCATTTCCACCCCGTTATCGGAATCGGTAGGCTTTCGTCGGGGCGCTTGGGGATTAAGTGGTCAGCTCCCTAGGTAGAGATACATCACATCCAGCCCGACGTAGATTCCCTAAGGATACTCTATGAAGTGAGTGGTGCTGAATGTAGATGTAGCCCAGCCCACTGTCAGCCAGCCTAGGCATGTACAATTACATACTCTACAGTTCTTCCAGCTGCGCGAGGGGGGGGGGGGGGGGGGGGGGGGAGGGGAGGCGATTGACTCGCCAGCGAGTTCCACGAATCCCAAAAGCCAAAGTCCAGTTCGTCCCATCATGTCAAGTCACCCCATGTCACAAAGCTCTCTCTCCAATGTTTACGTACACTACTGGCAGTAACCACCCCCTAGCTGCACCGCTAATTGGCTCACAACCTCACCTTCACCCAGTAGCAATCCCCACCCAAGACTACATAATAAAAACGTCAAACAAGGACCACAAATTGCAAAAAGCAACAGGAAATTGAATGACATCGTGACATCTCAAGGTACCCCCCCTCTCTCTCCCGTAATAGAGTAGCACTTACCGTTTTTCCCTCTCCGTGTGCGAGCCGAGCCGAATCGTTAGGGGTTTGCTTTTTCCCACCGACCGACGACGACACGGGGGAGGGAGGAGGAGGCTGGTGTTTTGGCTGTTTTGGTTTTCTGGCTCGGACTCCACCTCCGTACCTCTCTACACGCCCGTCACGAACCAAGCATTCTGTGCGGGACTGGACTGGACGGGACCAAAACGACAAGAACACGGACTCTATTTGTTTATTTACTTTGGCACACGCTTCAATTGGTTGCGAAGTGCGCAGAAAGAGTTACAGATGAAACCAAAATCATGACATTCCACCGCTGAAAAAGTATCTTGCATTGAAATTTTTTCTCATACCCAACCCTTGTTGTGGGAGGGTAGCGAAGTAAACTATGGTTATTTAGAGTCGGCTAGTATCGGGGCCTGAGTTGAGTAGATAGGAGTAGGGTAGAGTAGGAGGACAATATATATATAAAAAAAAAAGGAAAAGTAGAGAGGGAGCCAGAAATTTCACACAACACACTCACGCACACGCAAAATAACAAAACAGAGGTATACAAAGAAACACATAGGAAAACCACAAGGAAAAAAAACAGCAATAAATAAATAAAAAAGGTGACTCCAAAGCACAACTAGGCTGACTGATCGCGCGCGACCACCACAGCTACTAAACTAACTATCGAAACACAAACACATATTGACCAAACAAAAGGAAGAACGAAAAGGGAGAAAGGGTATAGAAAACCAGATCCGCCAGTAGAGAAAGTTCAGAAAGTATAGATACTAGTTGCCTTAAAGGTATAAAAAAAAAAAAAAGCTAGAAGAAAAATAATAATAAGTAGGTAAATGCGAAGATAGACCGATGAAAACCGACTCAATGATGATGCATCCAAGAAAGGAAAAAAAAGAAAACCCCACCAGCACAACGTAATCCGAAAGGGAAAATACACAGGGAAAAAAAAAGAAACAAAACTCCTTATGCCCAGCAATTTCTTTTCAGTAATATTTTCAGCTTTTTCACCGCTTTTTGGTTGAAATAAAGACGAAACCTGATACTAATTTGCAGTCAAAAAAAAAAAAGAAAAAAAAGCACAAGTCAAAAACAAATGAAATTAATTTGTTGAAAGCGTCTTGCCAAACGTAGAGCCTAATCATCCTACCGCCCCGCAGCGACAGCCTCCGTATATGCACCCCATCCATCGCCTTCGCTGGGTGGTGTGGGCCATTTTGGTTGTTGCAAATCATCGTCTTTCCTACTCCTTCGGACCAGAACATCGACCGCCTTAGAATAACTGTTAGCCCGGTTTCCCACACGTGGGTTTGGTGTTGGGTATCCATTGGGGGCATGGGCACCGCTTGATGCCCTCACATCATGAGCTGATGTTCGCCTGGGGATAGTATTTTCTGTTCGGGAAGCGGCAAGTACCTCATCGACTAGTTCGTCATTCTCATCCGGAGTTTCATATCTTTGTCTGGCATTCCGTACACTTCGTCGCGTCCTAGAACTGATTGGTGCCACCACAATCCCGCTGCTTGGTACAGCCTCTCCACGCGATCCGCCCGGGGTAGGCGGGAAGCTGGAATTTCGTCGGATGGAGTTGCTCCCTTTGTTGCCAGAGTATGTAGAGCTGTTTGAGTCGTCCAACACGCCTTCAACGTCCCTGATAGCCCTATCAAATGCTCCGGTATCGCTGGGACTCTCCACCAACATGCTGCTCCTGTTGCTTCCACCACCTGCATTACCTCCCCAAGCAATGCCACAACCAATCCCAGCCTCTAGATCCTCATCGCCGGGACTTCCAGGAAGTCCACCATTTTTTCCAGACAGTCTCCGTGCGCGCTTTCTTAAGTGAGAAAAAAAACTCTCCTTCTGTGCACCCGCCGAGGGTGGGCTTGCCAAACCTCCATTTACATTCGCGTTGCCATTCAACCGTTCAGCTGCCATTGCAACATGCACGTTTGTATAACCATTGCCATTCTGTGAATTCGTTGAAGCCACTGACAATTGTCGGCCAAGTTTCTTTACGGTCTTTTCTTCCATTCTCCTCCTCTCCTTTTCCATAGAAGGTGATTGATTCTCCCTTCGTTGTCTAGCAGCTTCGACAGAAACAGTGTCACTCAATGGGGATACTGGCCTGATTGTAGGCAGTATCATCATTGGTGCTGCACTGGTTGAGGCACCTGCTGCTGGTACTTTTTGTGCGTGCCATGTACTCCTTTTCTCCGATTTTGGCTTGAAGTCACGGTCGATGGTTGTTGTGGGGGGTGGGGAAACAACGCCATCGCCTCTTACTGTACCGATGAATGACTTTCGGAACCATGAGTTCTTCTTTTCAAGTGTAGGCTGAACCTCTGTGATCGAATCCCTCGATTGTTTTGATACAAGATCAGACTGCTTTCGGAGCATTCGTGACGGCGTGTTTGATCGAGGAAGGAGAGGGTCAACTGCATCTTTGAAGTACTCATGTTGAAGAGCCTGGATGGAAGTTGGACGGTTACGTGGGTCCCACATCAAACATTGTGTAACAAACGTTGCCAATGACGCAGGCCATGTAGGTGACTGAAGAATGGTCTCCATGGGTTGAGGTGCCATCTATTTATAGTTAGTATTAATACCCATACTAATAATTGAGGTAAGGGGTAGGTATGCATGCAGACATGTAAGAATAAATTCTCGCAGTCTGCGCGTGTATAAGAAGTTAACGCACCCTTGGGAAGCTAAAACCAAGCCTTCCTGCTAATCTTGAGCCCTCTTTCCATTCACCACCACCCATCTTCTTTCCATTTCGGCCGATCCACTGCCCTGGAGACCCCATAACCTCGCATACTCTCCAAACTTGATCTACCTCATTACCACCTGGGAATAAAGGTTTCAATGTTGCTACCTCTACAGCCATTGCACCAACTGCCCAGATGTCTACTGGCGCGCTGTACTCGCCAGCCCGCAATAGCACCTCAGGCGCTCGGTACCATCTTGTTGATACGTATGTTGTGTATGGAAGTTTTGACGAGGTCTCACGCGCAAGTCCGAAGTCTGCAATTTTGACAGTGTACGTCGGAGGTGTCGCTGGTGGTGTCACAAGATTTGAGTATCGGCGGAAGGAGCCCGTAGAATCGTGGGGGTTCTGGGCTGATGTCGAAACGAGGATATTCTCAGGTTTGATGTCGCGGTGGAAGAATCCGTGAGCGTGGATGTGCTCTAATCCGGACAATATCTGGAATCTGCCCATTTGGTCAATACCTGAACCCAAAAAGCGGCCCTCACACGGTAAACATACAGTACACTCTTTACCACGCTTCCTTCGAGTAGCTTGCCCTCCCTTGCCTTCATCAGCTGATAGAGATTTCCGTCCATGTACTCCATGCAGATATGTAGCCGCTTTGTGTGGGGATCCAAGAAGATATCCAAAGCCGGTACTAGGTGCTGGTGCGCTGGCAACTGTCGTAGAAAGATGACTTCTCGGAGCTCTAGGCAAGGCGCGAAAGAGTCAAAGGTCTTCTTCATCGTTTTGATAGCAACCTATGCAGAAGTTAGAAAGCCACATCTAAAGAGTAACACAAGTAATCATAATACGCACCACACTCCCACGCCTTGCTACACCAGCTCCAGCCGACCGCACCTTGGCAAGTACGACACTGCCAAAACTTCCATCACCAATATCCTTAATGATCTCGAATCGATCCGTCAGTGCCATGGTTGATGATGAGGTTCCGCTGACCATTGTGGTTGATTAGGTATTTTGTCTGTAGGTGATTAGCATTCGGCACGAATAAAAGTGCGCCAGGGGTGTGGGAAACATATATACCTAAAGAAATAGGAGGCAAGCAACTCCACTAATTAGGTACCACGAGTATAAGATCCAACAAATGTGCCCGCTAAACTACGAAAGATATAAAAATAAATAATAAAAGCTCGCGCCGGTACAAAAAGAGATCAACTAAAAATTAAGGTTTCAACTTTTGATGCGATTTGAATGTAGAGACTCCTCGGAGGTCGGTATATGCCTGTTATGTTGCTTGAGGTTTGAAACGAATGCTGTATGTCCTAGTAGATGGATGATGTGTTTTCTGTTGACAGCGACTCAGACTCGGCACCCAAATACTTGATGATGCTTCCTTTAGTCGGGAGACGGTAGAAGCAGCAGAGGTGCAGAGCTGGAAATAGGTTGCAGGGGCCAGCTTTGACGACGTTGCAGACTGAAGACCGAGAAGGTAGAGAAAGATGTGAAGGGGGGAGCGGGGAGGGGGGAGCAGGAATAGGAACACAAAAGCAGAAGGGGGAGAAGAAAGTGCGATGGAACCAATGAAAACCAGTAAGACCAATAGGGGTGTTTTCGACTGGGATTGGGTGGAACCGAACAGCTGGATAGGACCAAAGGGCTACGAAAGAGAAGAAAGGGAAAGAAAGAGAGAACAGGAAACAGGCAACGACAGAAAGAGAGCGTGGGGTGGAGAAAGGAAGTGAGTGGGTGGGGAGATATTTTTTGCTGCGAGAAGGGAGTGAATGCGAGTGAGCGTGTGCAGCGGACGGTAGGTGCGTTGGTGGTGGTGGTGGTTGCGCCTGTCTCGTGGGATTGTGCTTATGGTGTTGCAGTGTTGCAGAACAGCGGGTCGAAAGGCCTGAGAACTGGTCAGGTCAAGACCCAAGAAGGACGATCCGCTATGAACCCCTGCGTCCCGTTTTCTCTTGCAACTTCCTACTTGCCCTCTGAATTTATCAAGCGTGTTTACAGTATAATTATTATTAAATTTTTAGCAAGAAGGAGGAGATATTTGAGGGAGGGGAGAGGTCCTTTGATTTTAGACTCTCACGCGCTTTCCTGCTCTAATTCCTCTCCAAGTGTTTCTTTTGATATACTTAGAAGGCAAGTAAGATCAGCGGCAGTAGTAGTAGCTCTAAAGAAGGTAAAGCCCTGTGGCAATACTTCTTGCTTGCGTCTCCTGTGAGGCACGAATTGGTAGTGCACTCTAGGTGTGAGCGAGTACCCAGGGTAGTTATGTATGTGTGTGTGGTATCGCCTGCAGCCGCGCTACCTTTCGCGATAGGCGAATGAGCGGGAGAAGAGACGGACGACAGTGTAGGCAATGTCTGATATCAAGCTTGAATTGGGTGGACAAAAGAACAAGATGGCGAGAATATCTCTCTTTCTCTGAATAGAGTGGTAAAGCGTACGTCTTTGGCGAGATGAGCCCCTTCCCCGAATGTAGGTTGCGCACAGAACCCTCTGCACCTTGGCCAAATCTCAACCAATATTTACGCGTTTCCTGTACGGCTGTGTGGGTCGCGCGTGGAAATTGTTCCGAAAAAGGGTGATGAGATGGTTCTCCGGATGGTTGATCGTAAAGGAAGGGAGTAATCAATGCATGGTTATTGGGGGTGATTCGACTGTAAAGTGTGCGCAAACCAGATGGCGAGATCTACCGTCGACCGGAGGATTTTGCGGTTGTGGCGGTGGGTGGTATCACTGGGTATGTCTCTCGGGGGGCTGAATATCGAACAGGGAGAGATACATGAATGTACTCTACTTTAGGACGATGGTAAAGGATAGGATAGGATATGATAGACTCTAGAGTGCTCTGCACAGCGAAACTTAGGTAAACACGGTAAGGTAAGAGGTGAGAATAGATGATGGGATATGGAGGGGTCATAGATGAGTCTATCAAATGACCAGGGGAGGCTGTTGGAATAGAGGAGCAACAGAGGGGCTGTTACATTTACTTACTCCTACTCCTACAGATGATGATGATGATTATGATAATGATATCCCTCCTGCTTGAATATTTACTTTCTCTTGATACTGTATGTAGAGTCGCGCCTAGGCGCATACATACATGTATGATGTATCTATGCGGTGGAGGGGGGACCGTTGATGATGGGTAGAGGGGAGGGGGGGGGGGGGGGTGAACGTCCTGCTCGATTTTTTGCAGGCCTTGTCGTACAGGAGACTATTTTGAGACAGCGGCTTCCCTGAGCTGCACAAAAGTCATAAGTTCTCTCTCTATCCTGTTTTCATCATCACCACCTTCAGGAATTCTCTCCACTTACAAAACAACGCCAATTCACCTTAGTTCAGTCAAGCGCAGTTATGAGCAACAACAGCAACAGCAACAGCAGCAACAGCAGCTTGCAGAAGGCAGCCCAGCAGGGCAGAGTGGCCCAAATCCAACCTCTTTCGGGGGATTGGGTGTGGTGATTTGCGGTTTGTTGTGCTGGCTGGATTCTTGCAGGGGCCAGGGCTGTGGACATGCAGCTGTTGGGCTGTCAAAGCCTTTCCATGTCCGAACCGCACCAGGGGAGGAGGAGTGGCCGTGTCTGCCGAAACGGGTTGGCTTGTCGTCAGATATGATCCCTGAAGTCTTAGACTGTTCTAAGGGCCAATCCCTTCCAGATGGTTTCTTTCGTTTCTTTTTTGGGAGCTTTACCGTAAAGGGACTAACGGCGAACAGGGAAGAAAAATACGCCTGCAATCTCCGCCGATATTGGACATATGGGAGGTGGGGAACAGACAGAATAACAAAATTTAAAACTTGAAATCTGAATTTTGATTTTCCTCTCTCATGTGTAGACCGCCGCCAGCGCCGCCGGTACATACTGTGGTATTCTCAGCTATGTACGAAGAGAAGTATCTCTCTGATATATGAGTTACTTTCGGACGACTGCATGCGCTCAAATGTTTCCTTGTGTGAGGTTGTCCGCTTTGTCTCCTCTGACGCCTCCATCCCATAGTCGACTCACGTGGGAAGATCCAGTGAATGCGAACCATTCCTGTTCTCTTGCAGTGCAGGGACCTCCTCCTTCTCCAGCTTAAGCTTGAACCTCCGTTGCAGGCATCCAACCGCTATGAAAAATTAGGCTCCTGCGGCGCCGAGAAGCTGTGGAACGAGCGAGGTGACAGGTCATGTTTTGGCTGCGTTCGCAACTTGCCGTGTTTAGGAAAGCGGTGTAGTCTTGGCAAATCGCTTGAAAAGAAAGCGGTTGAGTCAGAACGGTTTTGAAGAACGGTGATAGGCCAGGGTTTAGGGCTGTTAGTAGATTATTGAGTTCCCTGCATGATAATTATCGGGCCTTGGCGGCGGCGTAGGTAAGATGGCGACAACGTGAAGGAAATCCCTTGTGGAAGATATAAAATTTAAATATAATATCAAATTGCAAAACAGTCAGTTGTAGAACATCTCCTCAGCGCTGTGTATCAAAAGATTACAATTCCTCACGCGAAAAAAACAACACACAACCCGCTGGCAACCGATTGGAAACTATTTACACAGTTTCGTCTCGACACGGTGTTTTTCTGAAAGGGGAAGGAAAAAGTGAAGGCATAAAAAAAAGTTCCAGTGTGATCACACGAGATGTTACATGTAATTATCTGCCGATACATTCAGCCAAACAACCAAGCTTCTGACTACACTCACTAACCGAACGGTGATATCCTTCTTCCAACATTGTTCCGTAAACGGCTCCCCCTCTAGACGCCACATTTGAGTGACCTTACTGTTTTCTCATCCCTCGATAGCACAAATTCACAACCTCTTGTCAAGCTAACCGGGATCTCGGGTAGAGAAAGATCTCCAGTATGCTTGCTCTTCATCTCATTCTCAGGTCGGCGAGAACGGGTCTTTCCTTGAACCCTGAGTCTGTCTCCAGATGCCCTTTCGTTTACCCAACGGGCCAACCCGACCCAACCCCAAACCTCGAGATGAACGTTTAATAGGGGCCAGCCACCAAACACCTGCCAGCCGCCTGCGGGGAATTCAACAAAACACCATTACCTACTTGTTTACCACGAAAAGAACCAGAAAATGCAGTTGCTCAAGGCAAGGATTATTTGTATAGAGTGGCAGTGATCTCTCATACAAACTATCCCTGTTTCCGTTACTTGCATTTTCTGGTTCTTTTCGTGGTAAACCAGTACATACATGTATGCAATTGCTTATGTCGAGATGACCCTCACAAAGTGATATATGTGAGCTACTCTACATACATGTATGCATACGCACATGTGGAGTACATATTCTTCTGGTTCCAGAGTATCGGTGGCTGACACATACATGTATGCTCTACGAGCTCTATATCGCAATTCACACAAAAGTTCATGATGATACAGTAAAGTAATTACATGCTACATCAATGAAATTCCAACTGTCGTCGGACAAGATGAGCCACAAAAACGCCTAGATGGGATGGAGTAAAAAAGAAAGGGACATAACGCGTCGCACAGGCATGCCGTACATAGGACCCAGCGTTTCAGAATCTCCCGGGAAAAGAAAGGAAAAGAAATGCATGCATGATGCTCTGCTGCTTTTTTTTTTTTTGTGAGCTAGCCCATCGTGGCATCCATCCATCTCTCTCCATACATCACACCTGGTTCCCGGTATTAATAATTACCCGGATCGTTTCATGAATTCAATCTTTCCAGGACGTCAAAGGTAAAAGAGAGAGCAGCTCAAGGGCGAGACATCATCACCATCATCATCATGACCTTGGGGAAAGAGTCTCTTGTAAAGTTGGAAGTTTAAGTACAAGCTGTATCACACAGCCTGGGATATAATCTCTATGTTCGTTCTACCCGGCTATTTGACTGAAAACCAATATATAGTATCTATCCCCACATACCCATGGGCCCCACCGAAGAACTAATGCCTCGCGACGACCATGACACGAAAAACCCACGGGCGAGTACCCCCCCGTCTTGGGTTCACAGAACTCATTTCAATTCTCAATTCG